CAATTTAAACTATAATAAAGATATAAAAAATACAAATAAAAAATATAATTATAATAAAAAAATATATTTTATATAATTCACTCTTAATATTTTAATATATAAATCATGAATTTTATTGATTTTCAAATAATTAAAATAAATTATTAAAAACAATAAATTATTTTTAAGGATGTTAGTATTAAATTATTAAAATATAATATAAATACATAATTGAGTGGAGCCCATACAATAGAAAGGGTAAAATTATAATTTGCTTCCAAATGCAAAATCGAAAAAAAAAAAACTAGAAATCCTAGCTTTTGTAGTTGGTTTGAAATCATTATTTTCACTGCAATTTTTTTCTATTTGACATTAATTTTGCGGTTAAACAGACTTTTAACTAAAAGTGTTTTTAGAAAGCATTACCAAACGGATCTATCTAGTCATCAGCTTGAGTAAGGAAAAATAAAAGCAAAACACACAAAATCATACCTTACGTTTAGTTTTTGTTTCATTTTAGTATCATGCCTTTAAAAACTTAACAAATGATTCACACGTGGTACCTTTTTATGGGTAAATTACATTATTCATCACTCAATTATCTTTTCACTCACATTTTGGTCACTAAAGTTTAAATTTTTTAATTTAATTACTTAGCCTTCAAATTACTCAAAATTTAATCACCTAACTTTTAAATTTAATTTTTAATTATTTATTAATAAAATAATAATAAAAATTTTATGTCACAAAAGTTATTAATTAACCAAATTAGAGTGATTAAAATAGAAGAAGTTTAAAGTTGAGTAGTTAAATTGAAAATTTTTAAACTTTAGTACCAAAATAGAAGTGAGAATATAATTGAGTGATGAATGATGTAATTTACCCATACAAATTGCAGTGTGGTTAAGTTTTAAATGTAATGTACTAAAATGAAATAAAAACTAAACGTTGGGTATGGTTTTAAAAAATCAAAGTTTAAGTACTAAAACGGATCAAAAGTGATAGTTTAAGTACTAAATGTGTAATTTATCCAAAAGAAAAAAAGTCAAAATACTCGGCTTCTTCCTTTTACAAATTAAGTTCAATGTAATATTTGTGGGCTTTTTTTTTTGTTTCAGGTTAAATGAACATCGAATTAACGTCATGAGAGTAAGATCTATCGTCTGTCAATGGCAACGATCGTCAATAATACAAATAATGAATGACGTAGTGGTTAAAATGTCAACAGGTTTAACATAGAGACAAAAATTAGATGATAAAAAGAAATGAAAATAACGAAAGAGGAAAAATAAAAATAAAAATTAATTTTTATAAGAATCTAAATTATATCATTTTGTATGAAATTAAAACCGCGTTATTTTGGTGTGTCATTACATCGTTTGTTATTTAACAGTGAAGTGACTGAAACATGAACAATTCAAAAGTTTAATTATTAAATAAAAAAATCAAATTTACTGACTAAAATGAGAGTGAGAGAAAATGAGTGATAAATTTAAAATTTGCCTTTTTACTATTGTTTTTATTTTTTAAGAAGATAAATTTATAATTATAAAAAGTTTTCTTAATATAATAATAAATGATGATAGTTGTTTCAAGTACGGTGTGTAAATTCAAATATCGGATCCGATCCAAAAATAGGATGCTCGAATTTTCGGATCGGATATCTAATTATCCGATCCGAATATATCTCTTATTTATTTAGAATTCATCGTTTCAAGTCACAAAAATTGAAAATGAAGGAATTTAGGGCTGATTTTCTCCATATCTTATATTCATCCTAAGAGTAATCTCCAGCCCAAAATTCAACCCAATCCGAGTTCATTAGAGCCTTCAAATAAATCGTTCAAGTTTCATCGACAGATTCAGTCTAGAATCTTGTCGAATTTCTTGAAAATTCTAGGAGTAATTTTGTGGTGAAAATTTTCAGATTGAAACTCCATATATTGAAGACCATTCACAAAAAAAATCAGAATTTTTGGAGATAATAACACCTTAGAACAAAGCGATCACAAAAAAAGATTGTTTGAGGACTCACCTTTCAACAGAGTCTACTAGATACTACTGAAGGTATTTGGTTCTGAAATTTTACAGGTGGTTTCTACACACATCAAACGACATTCAAGAATTTTTCCAAAATTTTTGGACACCTGTAACCCCCTCAAAAACGTTGCTCAAGTTGACCCAACGTTTTCTAGGTTATGTGAATGAATCATTAAAGATTCTAATATTGCTCCCTTTAATGTTTCAGATTCGAGGACGAATCCTTTTGAGGAGTGGGGGAATGATACGTGCACCAGAGTCCATAATACATGCTTCTTTGGACTAATGTTTCTACTCGAACCTATTAGAAGAACAAAGTCTCGAAGATTTAAAGCATATATATTCGGTAAGCATAATGTGAATGAATCATTAAACGATTCTAATGTTGCTCCCTTTAATGTTTCATATTCGAGGTTGAATCTATTTGAAGAAAGGGAGGATGATACATGCATCGCAAGGCTCAATTCAAAGGAAGAAGTAACAACTCTTCCAAATGATCCACTCGTCCAAGCCTTGGAAAAGAAGATCAGAACAACATCAGAATTGCAACGACTTTTTGAATGAGATCCTCATCTTATTTGGTCAACATGTCTGGATATACAACCTTCTGTCTCTTAGCTTTCCAATGGTTCTTGAATTGCATCAATCCGATATCGGGAACTCAATATACGTTCATTTTAGTGAAGATGACACATGCAGAAATTCCTATACGAGATTAATACGTGATTTTGTAAATATTAAGAATTTTCAATATTTATATTGATTATTTGTAATATAATTTTATATGATGATGAATTATTTTAGGATTAGATTTATTATTTTATTAGGAATTAAGGTTGAGTTAAAACATTAATTTTAGTTATTATTATTTTATTAGTAATTAGAGTTAAAACATGTTTAGTTTGTTATTATTTTATTCATTAGTTATTTAGGACCTTTAGAACTCACCCCCTATATAAAGGAGGCTTTATTCAACTTTGTAAAACATATTTCTTTGATTAATAATACAACGATAGTTCGTTTTTGCAAGTACTAATTGTCTTGTGCCTTCGAAGCTTTTCTCCTGGAGTTCTTTCAAGTTCTTGTGAGGGAGATTAATCTTCACACTCCAATTTGTCTTTTCATCGCGACTAGGAGGGTTGGTTAGAGTCATATTATCGAGTTTGTCTTTTCATTGTGACTAGGAGGATTCGATAGGACACTTAGAGCCATATTATCGAGTTTGCCTTTTCATTGCGACTAGGAGGGTTCGATAGTATACTTATCCATCTATTTTCCACAAATCCATCCTCGCCATCATCATCTTTACCGTTCACCTTCATAAGGGAGCCACATTCTACTATTCACCCCCCTTTGTTCGTTATCGAGTCTAGAGCTTTCTAGGTTTGATTATTCAACAAGAACAACGTTCATTAATCCACCACCGCTTTCCTATCACATAGTGTCGAGGTGAAGCGACCCATAAAATTTGGGATCGAACTATCACCATCTAAAGTGATCGACGATGATGATCGATCACCTTTTTTTATTTTTTATTTTAAATTATTTTTATTAAATAAAAAATGTCATGCCATACAAAATAATAATAAAATAATTCGAAATGATCAAAACATTAGTAATTCAAAAGTCCAGTGAGTAAATTAGAAAAATTGAAAGTACGATGAGCAAAATAGGAGAGAATATAAATTACCCCAAAAAATTATGGGAAATACTACATATCGTCGTCTAAGATGTATCAACGGTTTCTTCAATAATTATTTAAAATATTTAATAGTTATAGATTAGAGGAAAAATTACACATTTAGTACCTAAACTATCACTTTTGTTCTATTTTAATACTTAAACTTTCATTTTTTTCAAAACTATACTTAACATTTAGTTTTTGTTTCATTATATTATCCTGTCGTTAAAAACTTAAAAGACGGGCAGACAGGGCGTAGTTCCGATAGACGAACGACCAATCCAAACAATAGACCATGAGAAATGACAAGTCGACTAACATAGTTTAGTTTCAGGTCCATCGGACGGTTGACAACAGAGATATGAAGGATTAAGAAGTCGAAGAGTCAATCGTCGATTTGGGGATATTGAGGCATTTTCCGATGAAATGGAGGTCGGAATCACATTCAATGAGTCGAAAAGGTACGGGCTAAAAAGTTTGGGCTTCATCCAATGGATGTGATGGTTAACGACTGTAGACGTGATGGTCGATGAACCCATACGTTAAGTTTTTAACGGTGAGATACTAAAATTGGGGAAAAACTAAACTTTAGATATGATTTTGAAAAATTAAAAGTTTAGATACTAAAATGAACAAAAACTAATAGTTTAAATATTAAACGTATAATTTATCCTAGATTAAAATCACTCCAACATTGAGTTTTTTATTTAAAATTAATGATTACATAATGAGATAAAATTCCAATATTATTGAAGGCTTAACAAGACAAAATAAAATTCCAAAAAAACACCAATAATAATTAAGGTAAAGTACATAAATGTATCTCTTGACTATAAGATATTGCTTTGTTGAGTTTCTTAATTATTAAAAGTTACAAAATCACATTTTGACTATAGGGCATTGCTCCACAACTATTAAAAGTTACAAAATGATCACTCGAGTACTATTTATATGTTCCAAACTCGTCCTTTTATGTTAAAAAGTTGACGACAATCTGAGCTGGACGTTAACATTGACTATGATATGATAAAATATGATTTCAAGATCTTAAACGACTATCATATCTCAATCATAAGTTAATGCCCTACTCAAACTTTCATCAAATTTTTAAAGAAAAAGAACAAATTTAAAACGTATGAATAATTGAGTGATCATTTTGTAACTTTTAATAGTCTAGGAACACTTAACAAAGCAACACCCTACCGTCAAATGATTATTTAGTAACTTTTAATAATACTCAACTAAACATCAACTAAACAACATTGTGGTTAAGGGACCATTTATCTACTTACCCTAATAATTAATGCATAGCTTTCGAGATTGAAGTCTTGGTCAACTCCCAATTGCCAGGCATATTCTTCCTGAGGAAATCAAAAATGGTCTTCGCAGCTGCAATGGAGTACTCGTAGTACAAAGGGAACTGAAACAACGCGAAGATGCCGCTGGGAAGGAACGCTGCCACGTATGTTAAAATCGCAGTCCAAGTTTTTTTCAAATGAACAAGCAGAAGAATCGTGGCCGTGAATGTAAGCATGGTTGTCGTGATGGAGAAGAAGAGGAAAGTAAATCCCAGCGAGAGATTACGTGGGACTTTGTTTTGGAAATCTTCGAACTCCAGTGAGGAGGTGAGGATCGACAGGAAGATCACCACCGAGGTCAAGGAGCTCGCGAGCCCGGCCACGTCCATGACGGTGAAGAACGAGTAGAGTGGTTTCTCCAGGAGGACGGGCTTTCCGTCGCCCGACTGGAAGCCCCCCGGGGCTGTGTACGCGGCTGCAAACACGACGGCGGTGACTAGAACGGCCACCGTAGAGCATGACTGAGAGGTGTTCTTCACCCACTCTTGCGCCGTTTTAAGTTGCTCCAAGTGCGTTTCCTTGAACAACTTATCGGCTGTCTTGTTGTCCTTGTTTCGGTGCAGATCGAAATGCGGCGGAACATGAGTCCTCACTTCCTGCAACATGAGAATATTGATGACATTTGTTGATGAATAAACAGGGTTGAGGTGATTTTTTACCACTATCGTTCAAATCAGTTACCTCAAACCATTTGAATTCCTGTTGCAATTTGATAGCAGGGGTATGTCTGGGTGAACCATGATGATAATATTTGGTGTCAGCAGCATGGTGCAATATGGTGCAGCCATGATTATCGATCCCTCGAACCAACCTATTTTTCTCTTCACGACACATAACCGCATCATACACTTTGTATGTACGATGTAAAGTGACGACATGCAATATGTTCTGCCCCATTTTATTGATGTGCTCAATTGCTTGAGGGTACTCCTTGAGTATCTCCTCCACAATTTCAACGATCCCGGTGCTCGCCGCGATAAACAACGGCGTATCAGGTTCGGCGGTCACACTTCTCTTCACCTCTTCTTCTTTGTCTTCCTTTCTCTCCAAGCAAATCGTATCGTCCTCTTCTGGTTCATGAGACTCGAACCAAGACGAATCGGTTCGCACCAAAAGATTCGCGAGTACAACAGCTGATGAATGCATTTTCTTTTGACTCCACATCCGATCAATTATTTTCCATCCTGTAAATACACCCACATATGGAAAATGACATATATTTTGGATGTTCATATAAGAATGTTGATTTGGGGTGTATATAGCGGAGGATTTAGACGCTCTTGTAGAAACAATGTCGAACTTCTCGGAGCAGAGGTATCTGATTCTTGACGCTATTATACATCGCGTCAAGAATCGAGATGCCTCTAAGTTCTACATTATTTCTGCAAGAGCGTCGAATAAATGATTTCTAACCTGTGGCAAGGCACCTCCAGAACCGGCAGTACAGCTTGAACCCCTTGGAGTGGCCCGATTGATGGCGAGCTTTGCTTGGCTCACCCTGCTCCAAATCTCTGCTCTGCAGAACTATTGGGAGCTTGTCGCTCTCATCTCCGCAACATGGTTCGTCCGGAACGCCTTAAAGAAATAGACGACGTATGAATTAAACGGTACGATATTATCTGATTCGTCGACGACATATGAATCAAACGACGTACTATGATAGACGAATCGCTCGAATATTCCATAGGAAAAACTACTCCTGAAAGCAGTGGTCATGGCAGCCAGCAGATGAAGACCCGTCTTCCCATTGTTGTCTTTGTACTTTGCAAGCTGTGGATACTTTTCCACAGACCAAATTGCAGTGTCTGAAATGCAAAATATAGAAATGTTATCGATAGTTTTGCAATATTTTAAAATTTTTAATTCTAGTTTCAGTACCTCTACTATGCTGAAACTTGGAATTTAATCATTCTACTATGGTTATTACTAGAGATGGCATGGGTAGGGTCAGGTTTTTAGCCCACTTAAACCCGATCCAAAAATTAAACCCCTCAACATACATTCGATCTGATTCGAGTTTAGAGGATTTCGTTCGACCCAATTTTTTAAGTAAAAACCCACACCGACCCTCCTAAATATATATAAGAATTTTCATTGTTATTAGATAAAATAAAGTTCTAATTGAAAAAATAATGTACAAAAATGTATTATTACAATTATCTCTAAATATATAAAAGATAATTATAATATATAAGTCGAGTTTTTATTGTAGATTTAAATCCGATGAGACCACATCCTTTAAAAAAAATCTGATATAACTCAACTCAAATCCGAATTTGAATAAAATATACATATAGTTATTATAGTTGAAGTGATCGATGTACCAAGAATCTAAAACCGGAATTAGACATACCAAAGTGTTGGCCGATGACTGCAATATGAAGAATGGAGACTCCATCGTCTCTGGTGTAATGCTTATGAAGATTCCCCACTCGTTCAATCTCCCTAGCCAAATACATCACCATCATCTTGTTCCCATACTCCGCCGCTCTGAACAACGGCGTCTCCCCAAACTTGTTCCGATCCGCCAGTATCTCCTCCCTTTCCCGCGCATCATTTTCTCCGTCGACGGAGAACAACAGCTCGCTGATCAACAAGTCAGCCGCTCTGATTTTACCGGTGGTCGCCGCTTCGTGCAGAACGGTGTTTCCGTAAACGTTCTTCATCCTGATCAGCTCGCGTTTCCTCGCCGGCGGCACCAATTTAACCAGCATCTCGAGCATCTCCTCGCTCCCTCGGTAAGCCGCGACGTGAAATATAGTGTCCCTGCACACGGTGACTCGACTGAACAACGCTTCAAGGTTTTCGTGGTAAATCTTCTTCAAGCCGTGAACGTCGTTTGCCAAAAGCTTGACGTAAGCCTCTTTCATTTCGTGGAAATTGTTCGACTCGGAGTTGGAGATGATTATTTCTTTCTCCATTGTTAAAGCTTTGAGATAACTTGAGGAATGACGACTTCCATGGGAGGATTTTATATCTCGATGTTGCTGAAAAAAATATACGTGCATGGCATCTTACTTTGCTTAACTAACTTATAAAGATGATAACAAGAAAAAGAAAATTTGAAGAATTCTTGAGCATATTAACTTTAATGCAAGCCAAGCTTAGGCACATGCATCGTGATACACACTACATTAAAAAATCATGGCTGGAAATATCATTGGCATTTGTACTTAGTTTAACTACTTGATAAAGTTTGAAGAATCAGTGATAAAATGAATGTCGTTTTTCTTAGAAGGCTTTGAGTTCGATTAGTTGTGTCTACTAGATGTACATGGGTGGTCAATTGATTATGAAATTATAAACTTAATTAAAATATTTTGTTATAATCGATGATTATTTTGTTATAATCGATGGTATTTATATAATGATATAACTTTTTAGACTTTAGTGATAGAAAGAAAAATTCGCCTAAATTTTTAGGGACTGTTGGTATAATATTCCTAAAGATAAATGTGAGGGGAAAGAAAAAGTTGAAGAAATCTTGAGCATATTATAAAGTTAAAAAATTGCAAGCGAAGCTTAGGGACATTGTGATTAACAGGAGACACTTAGTTGAATACTGTATTATGTAATTTTTCTGTTCAACCTACATAATTGAATCAATTAAGCCTGATCATAATGAGATGTTTAATTAATTAAAAATCTTTATAAAACTTTTTAAAGCATTTTTTAAAAAATTTAATTTTTTTAAATTTTGTTATTATTATTTTAATATTTCTTTTACACAAGTTACTGACATGATATTCGTTTGTCAAAAAGATGCAGTTTCTCAATTCAGTGGTTCAATTTTTTTTGTTATTCCGGTTCTCAAGGCTTTACTTTGATTAATCCAGATCGATTCGGATCGTAATAATTTTAGTTGGTGAGTCTCTCAACAGAGATTTTCTACATATACAAAACTCGAACTCGAGACTTGCTTAATAAAATAATAGTGCGGGTAAAAGATATTTTGATATAAAATGCACTTACCTAATAATCTGAAAATTAGTCACTATCCACCTAAATTTTGAAGAAAATCACATACACCCCCTTGACAATCATTTACTAATTCAATAGTTTTTTATGCAACTAATTCAATTGTTGAATTTTAATCATATATATATATATAATGTAAAACGTAATTAATAAGGACTTAAAATACTATTAGACCAAAATTTTGGGAGAGCAAGAACACCTTTCACTCTCCATGCCTCCCAATATATATATATATATATATATATAGGTTAAATTCACTCACACGCAGAGTAAAACTTTTTAGTTTGACATTTTCTTATGACCGCTGGATTGAAAGAAATCAAAGGATGAGATTAACTCATTTTTTAGTGAATATTTCCTCATTTCTTACTGTTAATCTCAACCTTTGATTTTTCCTCATCCAACTATCATAAAAATATATAAAACTTTTTAATTTTAATATTTTGTGTGGAGGTGTTGGGGGGTTTTTTAAGATCGGAGAGTAGAAGGTGTTATTGCTCTCTCAAAAAGTTTGGTCTAATAGTATTTTAAGTCATTACTAATTCAAGCTTATCACCTCTCTAACTTTTTAGATTAAATAGCTAATATTTAATTTTAACTTCTTATCTTATTATTTTTAGGATAAATTACATGTTAAGTACTTAAACTATCAGTTTTTATCATATTTTAGTACTTAAACTTTAATTTTTTTCAAAATTATACCCAACATTTAATTTTTGTTTCATTTTAGTACAATTCCATTAAAAACTTAACGAAATTATTACAACTTGAAACTTTTTTATGGGTAAATTACATCATTCATCCCTTAACTGTGTTCTCATTCCTATTTTGGTCATTGAAGTTTACTATTTTTTATTTAATTACTTAACTTTTAAATTACTCCTAATCTAATCACTCTACCTTTCAAATTTATTTTTTTAATTATATATTAATAAAATAATAAAAAATATCACATCACAAATTATTATTAATAAAATAACTTAGAGTGATTAAAACATGAGCAATTTGAAAGTTGAGAATTTAAATTGAAAAATTTTAAACTTTAATGACCAAAATAGGAGTGAGAAGATTGTTGACTGATGAATGATGAAATTTACACATGAAAAATTGTCACGTGCAAAAATTCTGTTAAAATTTTAAATGTGGGAGCTAAAATTAAATAAAAACTAAACGTTACGTATTGTTTAAAAAAATGAAGGTTAGGTACTAAAACATATTAAAATTGATAGCTTAGGTACTAAATTGGTAGTTTACCCTTATTTGTTAATGTCTTGTTCTACCGCAGTTGTTTTACCAGCGATATCCAACTCTTCTAGGAACAACAATTTCAAATCAAGTGTTCTAACAAAGAGAATTCATGGCCAGATAATACCATAAACCAGTAGAACAGAGAAAACTAAAATGCATATCCAAGGAAGACGAAGCAAAAGGAACTTAAAAAGTTTCAGTTCATGGCGCCGCCAGGAGAGCACTGCCTTGCTTGATGAGCACGAAAACGCTCCCGCCATCTCCTCTCGAAATCCGCAGTTCTTCGCCGAGGTACGTCGTGAGCAACCATGATTCAGTGTTGGCGATCGACAGCGGGATCTTCAACAGCGGCTGACTGGAAATTGTGTTTTGCACGGCGGCGAACATGCCTCTGATCGGACCGAGATCGATGTTTTGTCCAAGAAAGTCAACGGTTTCCGGTAAATCTATGGAGTCTGTCAGCTGGGGAGTTCCGATTTTGCCTTCTTGGAACTTGATCTACGTATAAAGAAACATTTCCTTTATTAATGCCTGGGCAGTAAAGGGAACACTACACTGGTGGTCCTTAAAACGTTAGAAATTGTCCACTTTGGTCACCAAATTTTTTAAAATTATGTTATAATCTTCTAACTGTTAATTCACTTTTATTACAATTATAATCCTCCCACACGAGTATTGTAATTCCTTCCTTTATTATCATTTTTCGGTATTCTTCTAATCATCTTCTATAACCACTAATAGTTACAAATAATAAATAAAAATAAACAAAGAAGAAAAAGGAAAAAAATGAAAATCATTTATTTTGATCTTGGCCATTGATCTAGTGATTGTTATACAAGTTTAAAAGTTTAGGGACCAAAATGAAAGCATATTAAAAATTTAGTACCTGCACACGCTTGGGACTTCAAAGCTCAAATATAGCATTTGTGCTTATAGAACTCGAAGCCAATGGCCCCGAGATGAGAACATAATTCTCGACGGTGAGATTTTCAGCATCGATCGTCTGCGATCTGCGTTATTTCCTCAATCTTAACCAATGGCAAATGACCACTCGACAGCAATGGAAACAGACCCAGGAACGATGTGTACCTGCAGGAAAATCAAGATCCGCCATAATGAAATTTCACAAAGTAAGAGAATTAGCAAGTAAAAAGTGTCAATTTCAAGAACTCATCAACAATCCTTATAAAACTATTCAATTTATGTATGATTGAAGAATAATATCGATATTGTTCTTACAATATCAATAATGTTGCTACTGGGTACCCTATTTTGGCATGAAAAAACTTATCTTCCGACCCCAAATGTCCTATTGAGGTCCTCAACTGATATTTAAGTATTTTATTTGATATTAGGGGTCATAAAGGACCGAAAACATGCTGAAAACACTCAAATGATGAAATCTACCATGAACATGCTTCAAGCTTATGTGTAACACCCCAACCCGTACCCGACTCGGATACGAGTCTGAGATGTCACATTGACTTTTTGAAACAATATTCTTACAATATAAAAAAACATTTGAACTCATATTAAGAAAATACAATAATATACTATTATTATTATGTTTCATTATAAAAATTTAAGGCAAAAACGTATTTATGAACAGTACTATACGGTATGAACAATACCATGATCAGTGCTGAACAATACCATGAACAGTGCTACAGTGTGCCAATGCACTGCTATAGTGTACAGATGCGATGCAAAAAAACATTGAATATAATTTGTGTATCGATGCACTGCTACAGTGTAATGATGCACTGCTACAGTACTTTCGTAAAACGTACATAAAACTCGTAAAAATTTACCCTTTCTTCGCTATACAATTATATTTACATAAATACGTTTAAAACATTACAAAACTCGATCAGAGCATAATTACTTAATTTACCGACTTTGTTTACATGCCAACCTATTTATCACATAATAATACATACTGTGTAATTTACTTCTGATCTGATCTTTGAACAGAGTTATGTTGTTACTTTGAACCTAGCTTTGATCCTCCTGCTTCTTAGTACCTACGTGTAAATCACTTAAACGCTAAGTCATAGACTTAGTGAGGCATAAACATAATATTGATGCATTTTTCATGAATATAAACATGCAATTTATGAATTCAATCATGTCACATATGATTCAGTATACATAATAACAACATAATAACATACGATAATGCAAACACGTTTGTCATATAAGCATATACTGAACATTTCTATACATACCATGTAACACATATATTATTTCACAGCAGAGCACACATATTATCATATCAATTGATTTATTTACTCTCTTTAAAGACCATGTATTAGCCCATGTATACTTTTGAGAACTTAAGGTATGCGAGTACATTGAGGTTGTGCACAATTATGCAGTCACCACAACTCGTATAAATGTCCCGAATGATCAGTCCATAGATTCCGAAGAACCTAGGTAAATGGTCCATATGTCCCGAAGAAACAATCCATATGTCCCGAAGAACATAGGTAAACAGTTCATATGTCCCGAAGAACATAGGTAAATAGTCCATATGTCCCGAAGAACATAGGTAACCCTCGACCCTTGGCATGCCAATTATACCCCTAGCTCTCATATCACATAACATGGGCATTATCATTTATAACAGTTCACATATTCACATCATTTCTCTTATAAACACATATCTCTTCTTTTCTGTCACGTATCACATGTA